CTTTACTCATCTGCTTACATACTAATCTATGAGCATTTTTATCTACTTTTTTTATGAAGATCGCAAGTGGCATGAGCTATTTAGAATCAATGGGGTTTGTTCATCGTGATTTGGCTTGTCGTAATGTCCTACTCTCAAGCCAGTCATGTGCGAAAATTTCTGACTTTGGGCTCAGCAGGGCTGTTGGTGTGGAGTCGGATTACTACAAGGCGACACAGCGTGGCAAATGGCCAGTGAAATGGTATGCACCAGAATCAATCTACTACAAAACTTTTAGCCATGCAAGCGATATCTGGTCTTTTGGCGTCTGCCTCTGGGAAATGTTCAGCCTAGGCGAGCACCCTTATGCTGACCAAGACAGTTTGGAGGTACTTCGTCAACTTGAGGAGGGTGTGCGTCTTCCTCGACCTAGGATGGCGACAGATGATGTTTTCGCCATCATGCACCGATGCTGGGCCTATAATCCTGATGCTCGGCCTACATTCGCCCAGCTTCTCGCCGTCTTCCAGCATTTGGCTACCAATGTCTATGAGAACGTCGATCCACCTGAAACTGCAATCGTTGGCTCTACTTCGACACCCACTCCCACACCAACGCCTAGTAATGGAGTGAGCCTCGTATCTGGACCTAATATAGGGCATGGACACAGTCATCCTCACTCACACACACATTCACATTCTCATATGCATCCACATGTACACGCTCTCTCTCATATTGTTCAGCACAACGGAGCCATCAGTGGGTCTCCTATTGTGTTTGGGCCAAGTGCCACAGGGCCCGGTCTGGGTTCTACTGGCTGTCCAATACGCATGGTCAGCCATGTCAGCCTCAATCTAACCCCAGCAAGTGGACCCTGATATTGGTTCATGCTTGATGATCACTGCCATTGAAAAGATAAACTTATTTTGGCTACAGGAGACTAGACCAATCGACTTGCATAAGCTTCGCTTCGTCTGCCTTCCTGCTCATGTACATTCTAACTTTATCTTGCATAATGTTTTCTTATATATAGTTTATCCTTTTCGAGTAGCTTCTTGCTGGTCGACTCTCCAGACTTTGGTGGTGTCTCTAGGCTTTGTACGGCATCCTTTATCTTCTTAATCTTCCTTTTTCTTTTCTATAGTTATTTTGAACTAAAACCGTGCTATTTTTCTATCTCATGACACATTACTTTCAGCTACCCTCTTCTATTGTTATATTGAGAGAATGTGGAATAAAATGATATATATTCTTTTGATATAGCCTACCTATTCCAAAAAATCAACGATTTGTCCCTAATCAACACTGACACGTTTTAGTTTTACTTGTTCCACAGGATTTATGGTCCTTTTTACCTCAGCCTTCTATTCTTATTTTATAAGTTGAATCCACTTTAACACTTATAATACCTGTTTTTGCTTTCTTGTTCTTTTAATTTCCTCCGTTTATATTTTACGATTTTTCTCCCATCCATCTCCGTCCATTCCTTTATTCCTCCGTACACATTTTCAGCGACAAGTCTGATTTTTTGTTTTATGATTATTTGTCTTTCCCTGTCAGCCTTCCTCTGGATTAAAGAAGCCATGATGCTGCTTGATATAAACCCTGCTACTGGCCAAAAGTCGTTGGCCATTTCCCCACTACCTAAGCATTTAGATATCCTAGCAGACTGAGTTTTTCTGGCAAGTTTTTACCAGATCAGCTTCTGTTTTTATAACGCTGTGAATTTATGTATATACAATGCAAAATTCTGCCTAGGGTTGGACTGTGACTTGGCTCGTATACACTGATGA